GTCATATCTGGATACAGTGTGATGAAAGGATCTTTTAGGCCTGTAGAATACCAACATGTAAGTAAATACCCTTCAATTAAATACACCAGTCATATGACATGGACTGTTCTGATCCATCATCATCTTCATCCCTCATCGCACCAGGAAGTGAATAAGGTCATTATGATATTTACACCTAACTTGCTCTGCGCCACTGCTTCACACTGCGATTTTCACAAACATGCAAACAATGTGTTCCCAAGCTGCATGCTAAAATTTGGTTTTCCGCAGCGGTCAATCAAACCTAATCAGTCGGTACCTTTCATATTTTTGATTGGTGGCAGCAAAAAAACATATTTCAGTGTGCGATTCAGAGACACAGAGTTTGCATGTTTTTGAAAACTGCAGTTAAACATATTCCAGCTTGTCCATCCCACCTTGCCCTGTTTTAATCCACTTGATCAATGTTTGTTGTCATTTGTGTCATCACCAGGGTAATGAGGAATTCCCGATCTTGTCCCATGCATCTGATCGCAACACTGGTTTCACCCATGGTACTAAAGTCAAGCCAGTATTCTACATGAAGTTGAATGATGTGAGTAAAACATGACATGCAATATCATGACATGCCTTATTGTTTACTGTATCAAGGTACATGTTTGATAGATCTCCTCTCTGTCCCTCTCCTCTCTGCCCCTCTCCTCTCTGCCTCTTTCCTCTCTGCCCCTCTCCTCTCTGCCTCTCTAGCTACCTCTCCCCTCTCTACCCCTCCCCCTTCCTTTGGGTCTGTAACTCAGGTTACTAAAGCCCCATCCCTCTTCCCCCGATAAAAAACGTACCTTCTCTAAGAGGTTTGATTTACTTGGAATGGTAGGCTTACACCAAACAAGATGACCTGCACCCTCGTATACAGCAACGTGTCCAGAAGATCGACCCGTGCGAGTACTCAAATATCATCAAACCCTACACTTACTCAAGGTAACAAAAAATATGTCAAATATCGAGATACAGAATCAGGACTGGGATTAATAATACAGACCTTTAGGGAAAGTTCATTTAATATGCCGGGAGGGGAGGGAAGGTGAAGAAATGTGGGATATCTTAGCATGAGTCCCGACCCCACCCCCTCCCTYCCCGAATATTTCACACACCTTTTAAAATAAACAAATGATTTGCAGAATGTTAATGATTTTTATGAACATTATTTTGTTATATTTAGTACTTCCAAACTTGCCTTCCGAGGAAAGCAATGCAACGATCCGTCAGAAGCAGCAAGACTTGGAAATACTTCTATTGGAAACAAGGTTTGAAACTTTTTCACTATAAAAAAGGGAGAAATTATATGATAGAGCATGATGTCAAAGCAACTAGATCTGGGCACAAATTGGAGCCTATCGTTTTGTCCCCCAGATTGAGCTGCATTCCAAAGTGCTGCTAGGGGTCTAAAAGCCAGTTATTCACAGCCGGATACCATACATTGTCAGTGGGATTTCAAAACACTGGTATTGTTCAAGCTGCATATTATTTATATTACAGCTGACTTTTGTGAGTGATTTACTCTTACGAGGCTAACCCTGTAGAGTCTACAGTCATATAACACAGCGGTATTTAACGAATGAGAAACGGGACTGTTTTGTCGCGCGCCTCCAGCGGCGATTTCATTAACGATTTTACCACACCCTCAAACCGCACGTGTAAACGACCGGCGATTTTATGGCAATTTTATGAGACGTCGTAAAAAAATCGCCATCGAATTGCCGCTTACAAGTCGCGCGACACAATTTGGATTTAATAAAATTGCAAAAAATATTGAATAAATGTGTGTKTTTTTTTTCAGGAACCGACAGGATACAGTGAGAACAATGACAAGTTCTTCGAGACGGCCGAGACAGAGGAGTTGTTAAGAAGATTTGACACTCATTATAACGCAAAGTAAGTACTGTATGAAACTCATGGCTTTCCGTAGGTTTTCCGGAGTTGCAGTACGCGTTGCATCATGGGCTCGTGAAAATCTTAATTGACATCTTCAAATTTCTTTCATTTCTTGATGCGTAAAAAGTTAACAGACTGGTGGAGAGCCTATGTGATCTTTTAGTTAGGCGTGCCCTAAACTAGATCAGCCTAGAGGTTGCTTCAGGGTTAAATCTCTGATTTAACGTGCACACAGACTTAGATCAGTCCAGAGGTTGTTTCAGGGTTCAGTCTGAGTTTGTAGTGCCCTGACTTAGATCAGCCCAGAGGTTGTTTCAGGGTTTGATCTGTGAGTTAGCTGTGCCCTGACTTAAATCAGCCCAGAGGTTGTTTCAGGGTTTGATCTGTGAGTAAGCAGTGCCCTGGCTTAGATCAGCCCAGAGGTTGTTTCAGGGTATAGATAAAATATTAAGATTGAGAATGTGCTGGAATCAGGGCGTCTATCATAATGATTTCAGTGCTTCAATCTTACATTGTTGTTTCCCTTGAACCTCAGGCTCTACAACATGAACCCTGCTGGTGATGCTCGTATGGGTCACACTAGGGGTAATTTACAGACTCAGCTACCAGATGGCTTCACCAAGAGCACTAGTGTGCACAAGTTTGGACCAGACATTAATACTACTGTACAGTTAAGAGGACAGAAGCCTTATCAAGCAAGGTATATCTCTAAGTTATACTGGCTAATAGTATAGAACTGATCATAATTTAGCGGGTTGATGGGTTGGAGAAAAAGGGGATGGTTATGTAAACTGTCTTTGGATAGCATGCGCAACTACGGGACTCTTGTCTGGTGTCGTGGGTTCCATTCTCAGCTGAACCGTATATGCTGGCAAGTTGAGTTTCTTTGATTTGTTGATCTCTCCTTTCCACGCGGACTGATCATAATTTAACGGGGTGAGGGGTTAGTGAAAAAGGATGGTTATAACCTGTTTTTCGATAGCATGCGCAGCTCGGGGACTCGTGTTTTTTTGATTTGTTTATCTTTCCTTTGCCACGGGGACTGATCATACTTTAGCGGGGTGAGGGGTTGGAGAAAAAAGGTGGTTTTCTCTTGGCTCCTCAGTTTTCATCCCTCTGCAAATATCAAAATGTGAGTTGAGAGTTGTATTCATAGGATATTGAATGCAGTGGTAGTGTGTGTGAGTAACAGTGGGCCAATAGCGCAGCGCACTAAAAATAGCTTAAAGATTTGGACAAACATTGCATTCTGTTTAACCGCTACGAGCATTATACGAACCGATTTTATTATTTTTACTTAAAGTTACAATAATAACCCATGTAAGCTAAGATCAACTGCGATCGGCTGTGAAAATTATCTGCTGAAAGTTTGTTTGTCCGAATTTCGCCTTTGTCTTCGTTTTTATGACGTCACGGTTGCGCTGCGCTATTGGAAAATGTGCAGAATTCATATACTGAATATATTAGTTTACCATTTTATAATACACTCTACAAAATTACTCGATTCGGATTGAACAAGAGGAGTACAATTAAATCCCAAATTGTATTCTGTAGAGTCCCAATTAAGTTGCTCAATTTTTTAATTGTATTATAAACAAAAAATCGCACCATCTTCTCGTACAATTCGGAATTTATAGATACTCGTGATGTTTTGAAAGTTTTCAAAATTGGACGAGCCTTTTTTTATTCGTACCTATAAATTCCAAATTGTACTCGAGATCGTGCGGTTTCCTATACCAATATGATTTCCAAAAGTATTGTTAGTACTTGTTTTGCAGATTGATTTTATAAAATTTTCTTCTCCAGGAGCATCAAAGCGCGTGACCCATTCTTTGATGACCACACGTATGACAAGAAGCTGCACACCACACAAGCCATCACTGCTTGATTGTTCAAGCTCAAGTCAGTCTTATTCCTCAATTAAGCGGAATAATATACCCAGACAAAAATTGATCCCGACAGGTAACATTATCAACGACCAAAATGCTGAGGTTAAAAATAGTGCCAAAATCTTTGTTAGAACTATTCAAATTTGGTAAATGGCGTTATAAAAGCAAAAGCCAATGAATTTTACTTTTCTACTTTTTAAAAACATTTTTAAGAGAGCTTTAATTAGATGAACCACGTTGTCCCTGATAATAAATATTTGTATAAACGAGTAAAAATTGATGAATATTCGAGTGCAAGTCTAAGTCAGTCGCGGGGAAACTAAAAAAATGCATTTTATCTTAACAAAATCACAATCACGAAGATAATAAAATTGTTTAGTTGAATGAAAGCGCAATTCCATCGAGCTTGGTTTTAGTCGTTAGCTCACGGTTATCCGAAGCTCAATTAGTGTCGATCGAAGTACAGCAAATGTATAGAGTTTCGAAATGAATTTTTAGCTTATATAAATACTATGGTTTTGGCCGTGAATCAATCGATGTGCTTCTATGACGTTGTTAATAGGCATGGAATGTCATGGAAACGCCTTGGTCGACGTCCACTAAGACTAATGATAAAATAACTGTATAAATGTCGCGTTCTGATTTGTTGGGAGCGTATACAACACGCGCGAGCACATTCAGTTGCGTCATTCCTTTCCAAAGTAACGGTTATTGTAGTTCGTATTTTATGAAAGAAATAAAAAACTTGCTGTGCTGTGCTGTGTGGAGTTATAAAGCACTTGGGGGATTGGCTGAACACTAGAAAAGTGTCGAAAAGCACTCCGCTATGCGTCGTGCTTTCCCAAACACTTCTCAAGTGTTTTGTAAATCACCGCGTGCTTTATAACTGCACACAGCACACGCGCGCGTTTTCTATGTCTTCACTTCGTCACGAGGATGATTTCAATCGTGCAACATTTTAGCGTTTTCATGTTTCTACGATACTGACCACCCCTGACGCGCCGCGTATTTTCGTGGGTTACTTCATCAAATTCACAGTGTTCTGACTAGTAAACCTTTAGAAGTAAAATATATCCTTTGCGTTTAGTAATTGCGGAGATTGCACAGCCATGAAAACAGCTCTAAATTAACGATTATTGACGCATGCTTTAATTTCTCGCGTTGCAGTGGCATATAAAGATAACATTGTTCTCGTTAGAAAATAAAGCAACACAAAATAGGCCAAGTAAATTGCTTCCTTAAAATGCACTCGAAAATGCCGCGCAAAAGATAATGAATACTTGAAATTTTGCAACACAACTGTTCGAGTTTAGTGTCAATGGCATCCTAAGAACGTCACCGGTGATTTTAGAAGCACCTCGAAGGACTACGGAAGTGCAAGAGTATGATAAGATGGTGTATTAGAGATGATTAGATTGATTGGCCTAATGCGAAATCCTTATGACATCGCGATACCGTGTACTAAGTTTGTTGATAGAGCAGTTTTCGTATGACTGTGAAAACCTCAAGGCACGAACACGGTCGTAACACGGCAAGGGATACGCCAGACCAATCACACTGCTCGAAAATTTACTCTCGATCCAATCAAATACCCGGAACACGGCATAAAACCGGGGCAGATACGGTCACGCCAAGGTCACGGCACTGTCAGACCAATGACATTGCGCTAGAAATAAATCAGCCAATCAAAATTCTAGAAACCATCACGGTCACGRCAAGGCACGCATGCGGCACTGAGCTTTTCACAGTCATACGAAAACTGCTCTACAGTACGCTCCATTACGTGAGTTCATGGTTAGTCTAAGGCATTCGATCTGATAGCTGGTGGCCAGGGTGGTATTAGTTGTACGACTTCAATGAACCCACCAAGCGAATCTACACGAAACAAATGCCTTTCTCTTGTCGTTGCAATCCCAATCAACTCCTCAATACCATTAACGTACTTCCCTACAGCCACAACAAACACTTCAATCCCAAGAACTTTAAGCTCCAGGGCTTCATAGAGTGTAGTCTCTTTATTCAAGTTAGACCTCCCGTCAGTGACTACCAGGACTCTCTTTAGACTTCCCCCTCGAACACCAGACGTCTTGTTAAGGAACAAAACCTCGCGGCATTTCTTCAGGGCATCCTGGGTGTTAGTTCTAAACCCGTAGTGTTTTGTAGTTTCCAGAAGTTCGATTGCTTTGTAAGGTGGTTGGAAGTCAAAATGGATATGCCCTTCTTCAGAATAATTAATAGCGGCGTATAACGTTGACGGCTTCGCTCGGGTGACAAGAATTTGTAACGCTTTCAAACCGTTTTGAAATTCACTTTCTTTGATGGACCCAGAGGAGTCGATGATGTAAGCGACATCGTAGAATTCCTCGTCAAAGGAGCTTCTTTTACTGACTCTTCCAGCTCCTGTAGACCTCGTTTGTTCATTCTTTAGGCCCTTGTTCTCTCGAAGATGATCGATTGGTGACCAGGAATTCATTGCAACATCGTATAAAGAATCTCTTCTTGTTCTTGCTGGTCTCCCAAGAAAGTATCGCTCTATTTTATGTGCAGTTACTTGAGGAGGTGGGACTTGTTGGATTCGCTGGAGCTCTAAACAAAATTGAGAAAAACATTTATTTTGTTTGGGAATATTTGTGCCGGGAGATTTCCAGTCTCGTGCCTAAAGCTCCACTGGGAGATTTCGTTTTCTCCACCGTGCGGACACTAGAGAAAAACGTTTGCGCATGCGTGTCTTTTAGCACGTTTTCTAAAAATTTAGGAGAGCAATTTAAGTGAGAAAAAATTTGTTTGTTTTATCCGAGTTTAAAGGAAAAAAAAAAAAAAAAAAATCGCGAGTATACTTCTCTAAGACCAAGATACTGTATTAATGAAGACAATATGAAAGAATTAGTCTTAAGTTTCAAGCATGGGCGCTCAGTTTTGGCTTTTTGCGAAGTCCATTTATCAGGCAATATCAGTATTTACAATATCATGAAGAGGTTTTGACTAAATAGCGTATCGGCTTAGAGAGTGCGCAGACGTTTTTCACTTATAATATTGGTATTGGTTCTGAATATAGCACGAGCTTGGATAGTCATTAATACTAGTCATCCCTACTTATCATAAGCTCTGGGCCCGGTTGTACGAAGGGTGAAAAGCGCTATCCAACGGATAAATCTTATCCAATGAATAAATTTATTGGATAACACTGAACACCATCGACTTATCCACTGGATAAAGATTTATCCACCGGATGGTGCTATCCATCCAGGCTTCGTACAACCGGGCCCTGATGAATAGGAACGAGGGGGTTGGATACTTTTTTTGTAAGCGGGGTCCCTTTGGTTAGACAGGCGGTAGTCGCAGTACCATAAAAACAAATTATAGCTATAAAAAAGCTGTTATAAAGCTCGCGTTCTAATTGGTTGGAAGCGCGTGCTTTATGAGAGCACCTCTTAAGAGTAAAGAAAATCGTTAATACAATTGCATGTTTTTCTTAATGGTATATTATAGCAAAGAAGCTTCTAGAAGCAGAGAAGAGTCTAGAATAATCAGCGCAAGTTGATATAATTTTCTTTTTAGGAGATAACATTCTTTGCATGACATGACTCAAGCTTGAAAAAACCCATGTTCCGAGCAAAAGCCGGGCCATCTGTAACAGATTCAAAATAAGCTTGGTTAATGTATCTTGCAGTGAAGTTTTAAATTCATATATGAAAAACAAATCCTTAGCGTGGTATAAAATGGTGGGCGGTCCGTACAAGTGAGTGTCGTATTGCAAAAACAAAAGTCTGCCTCAAAAAGTTCTTAGTGATCAGAAGTTTAGAAAAATTAAACAGTAACCACTTGCGAGGTTAGCTGCGGGGTTTTATTTATTTATTTACATATTCTTTTATGAGCAAATCTAAAAAAGGATTGATATATAAGAAGTTACGAAAGATCATGCATATAATCTCTTATAGAAGGCCAAAGTCAGATAAACTCACCAATGATGATGGCAGAGGTCACTGCCGAAACATGTATGTTAAACTCAAAAGTGTAGTTCTGTTCTTAAAATGCTTAACTTCACCGATCACCTTCAGACCAATCGAATTCCATTGAAATCTAGCGTGTTACGGTTTTGCAGAGAGCCACGGTTTTCTCCATGCATGCTCTTTGGTTTTTCTCCGCAAAATTCAACTTTGAATCCAGGTTTGTTATATATAGGCAATTAAGCGCGCACAAACCTCGTAAAATGAGAACCATTGCTAAACGTAGTTATAAAAGATTACAAGGCTTAATACAAGTGTCCTCAAGTCTGAAATAAGTATTTTGATTAAGTATTAAGAGATAAGAAAGATCATAGATCTAAGTGGCTGGAGTGGATAGCCAATTGCTTTTAGCAGGTCAAGCCAAACAAAACATTGATCCCGACATTAATTAGGCGACGTTCGATCAACGCAAAGAGTAARATCAGTAACTTTTCTCAGTTTTCAGGACGGCACGGTTGAACATCGTATCGATCATCTATTGCAGACCTCATAACGGAACCCAATCTAAATTGTAATGTGCGACATAATAGGGTCACTGACGGTTGCGTTATAGGATTGTACCATATTGATATATTTAATTAACTAACTGTAAAATAGGTAATTAACATTGCCAAAATCTGAGTGTGTTTCAAACCCAAGTCTAATATGTGTCTTTAGCTCGGCTGTCCCTCGAAATCTTACATTTAAAACATTCCTTCGCTTGTTCCGCCTATCCTGCGCGCGCCGTTAGTTACTGCCATTTTAGCCCTTAAGATTTGAGTCAACAATTTCATTGCAGACTTTTTAGCTTTCACACTTAAAAGCAGGTCATCATGCACTGTAAATGAACCAGAGTCTAGTCTAGTCGTCACCACGAGTTCAGCATGCATGGAACGTTTTTCTCTCTTAAGTATCTCAGTGTTTTATTTTGGTTGTTATAACTAGAAAACATTTTTACTGACGTTTTTCTCATGGAGAAACATTTGTTGGCAAAGACAATATCCTATCCACCAAGGTAGACGAAAACATTTGAGCTAAAACCAAGACTGCTGTATCTGATATGCTAGGGGGAAAATGAGCGTTTTCTAGGTTTATACTTGCCTTGATTATACCAATTACCACTAGACACTGTGCTGCCCGTCTGCCAAATATTCGCAGAAGAGGCCACAAGAAAGGAAAGCACGGAGACCAAAAAATATACACTTTCAATTTCTGACATATCCGGTGTACTAAATAGAAGCTAGACTCGTAAGGTACACCTTTTATGTTATGCCTCCCACAGGTAATGCTGTCTGTTCTAGTGGAATCGTGCTGTGATACGGAGTTTCGATGCAAATAATACGGGTAATACTCATACGTAGTCAAGCACAGCCCTAATTTTATATTCCACAGTTTCTGTCAATCACCGTGCGTGATAATTTCATATATAGCATGGCAATTGCAGGACAATAACCAGATACTTGGATGTATCACGATATCTCTTTGTGCAATCGGCAGTTTAAGCACATGTGTCCATCGGGATTCTAAAAGATTCTGATATATGACCTTGAATCTAAAGTAGACACCCTAACCGTGCTATCAAACAAGGCAATTGGTTTACCCCCAACATATACCCCATGACGCATGAGGCAGCGTATTTATTCTGTAATTTCAACCCCGCCATTTGCAGATAAATGGCGAGGTAAACTGCAGGTCGACTGCACAAACTATGCAAACTTGTAATGAGTGATGCACGTTCATTTCCTCGCTTCTCAAGTGTGTATCATGAGACAAATATCAACATTTCCCTTCAGCCATTCAAAAGCAACACAAATTGCAATACGCTGTAAGGAAACTATGCAAAGTCTGTAAAGGTATATTGGTGACACACTGAATTACGAGGAAAGTGTCACGAAGTATAGTATAACCGTTATCTCAACATGTACACCATGGCCACTATGACCCGCGGCTGCACAGCGTCTCAGTTGTGCTTGGTTATATTTGCATGGACATTGACCTGGAGCTGTACGCGTTCTTCCATTTTGAAAACGTACAAAGCTATGGATTTTCAGTTGATATTCCGGCTAAAAGACTTGAAGAGGCAAAATACGGCCTGAGGAAAATTATGGTAATGCTTGAGGAAAACGGGGCTAGGGTATCATTATAAGTTGTTTAAATCGGCCCATTTTTTTCGATTACAATGTGCAAGGACTCGATTTGCGCAATTACTAAAATGATGATTTCAAGTGCGCGCAAACACTTATTTAGAATAGATTCCCTTTTCTATTTTACCCCCCATCTATATCGTCTTTAGTAAAATAGACCCTTTTCGAGTTCCAAATTACCGCTGTGTTTCTTGATTACAGACTCATTTACTCAGGCTTAGCCTCGAATCAGTGTCTAAATATTCGCAAATACCAACGGTAAAGTAAAGAATGCACAACTCCAACAATACAAACACTTTGAAAATTGACGGACCTTGACTGGAACACATGAATATTCTTCACAAAATCGAGGCTAAGCCTGAGTAAATGAGTCTGTAATCGAAAAACACAGCGGTAATTTGGAGCTCGAAAAGAGTCTAATTAAAAACGCGATCTGCAAGTGAAAACTTTTGCCAGTAAAAAAGAAAAGCGTTGAAGTGTCTGTGTGGAGGAATTCAAACGTTTCAGCATACTTATGAGACAGTTTAATATCACAGCTATTAGCAATTGTGACTTAACGGAAGTACCTTGAATTTGTTCTCATCAAAAGTCGATCATCCTGATAAGCGAGAGAGGGGACAGTGTTGGAGGGTGGGCCCCACTGTTAGGCGACAAAATTCCTCGTGCGTTTATCATTTACAGATAACGTGAATGTTCTCAAGCACACTTTTATCGGAAGGCAAGTATAGTGATGATAGGTGGTTTGTGCACGCAACCTCACAAGTACTGCTTCTAGATCTTACACGACTCACTAGAATCTTGAAATTCGCTAGAGCGACCAAGAATTAACAGTGCCCTATACAAGGCGAGGTAAAGCTTGATAGTAGAGTAAATGTATCACATCAAGTTAAACCTCTACTTAAAGCCATAGTTTCGTGGTTACAGCAAACTGATGGCTTGCAAGCATTCCCTAGAGAGTCAAAAGACAAAAACATGATCCGATATATCCACTTCACGTTTTGAAAAATGGCACGTAACCTATTAAATAACATGTCAGGTTTATTCACAAAACTCTTAGCAACATCATGCCAAAGGACACTCACGGTACAGAATACTTGCACATGCATGTGGCAACGCAGCATTGCACTACAACATGATTCTTAATACAAGTCTCAACTGCCTCAATTGCGAATAACTGTGTTCGTTTCCACGAGAAAACGACATTTGCGCCGCCTCTGTCATTGCTTCATGATTTGATTATCAGTTATAGATTCGACGCAGAGGCACTTGCGCTCGTTTTCGGTATTCGGTTGCGTTATAGCGCAAGGCAGTTGCATTGAAGCACGTACTCGCGCAGACACTTTGTACCATCACATTTCACGGCATATTTTTAATATATTGTGCAAAATAATCTAGGAATATTAGAATCATTAGAAACACCGATGCAGCTCACACTAGTTTTTAGCTAGTTATATCTTTTTAGGAATATTATAATATGAGAGAAATAATGCACGAAATGGCTAAACAAATATCTTGAAGGAACTTTATGGAATTTATTTAATAACAATGTTCACGGTTATGTTATGGCTAAACAAACATCTTGAAGGAACTTTATGCAATTTATTTAACAGCAATGTTATAAAAATATCGATAATAAAGCAATCACAACTACAAAATATGAAGAAATGTCTTGTCTGAAAACACTAAGAATTTACTTTAAAATGTTGCTGAAGTCAAAAATGGAAACTCAAGTTAAAAATATGGCGGAGAACTGCCTAAAGCATCAAATATTACTTTACTAGAGCTAGGGAAAAGAACGTTTATTATTGGCAGGTGGGGGGGGGGGGGGGGGGGGGGGG